TCAACAGCCAATTATTGCACAACTATATTCTACCCACCTCAAGACTCCGCTCCAATATAGAAGCATCAAGAAATATGGACCAATAGGCTATCTACAAACACTTCTATTCAATACCCATTGTTTCTGTTCTGTCTTGTGTTGATACTTTTAATACCCTATTAATATCCCCTCTTGTTCTGTCTTGTGTTAATGCCACATCACCCTTCCCACCTCACTCAAATGTAGATATAAAATCAGAGAATACGTAAGTTCTAATCAGTTGTGTATTTGTGAAGTCTTTGAAAATGTAATAAGTTTTACGAAACGCGCCCGTGTCGCGTCAGACTAGAAATAAAAATGAATTTTGGAGAAGTGATTTTTGATTTACCTCCAACAGTGAAGCGTAATGTACGAAAGATTGAGAAAATTCGTGTTAGAATTATTAATCTTACTTTTTCGGTCATATTTAATAATATATGTCTACAGGAAAGACTGCTACCAAAATATACTAATATATATATATATATATATATATATATATATATATATATATATATATATATAAATTATTAAATATGACCGAAAAAGTAAGATTAATAATTCTAACACGAATTTTCTCTATATTTCTTACGTTTCTTTTCACTGTTGATAGTAATTCAAAGATCAATTCTCCAAAATTCATTTTTATTTCTAGTCTGACGCGACACTTGAGCGCGTTTCGTAAAACTTATTACATTTTCAAAGACTTTAGTTTACAAACACACAACTGAAACTGAATAGAGCTTACACATCTTCGAGGTTTATATCTACATTTGGGTGAGGTGGATGAGGTGAAAAATGAACTTTCAACAATGGGTATTCAATGGGTATAAAATTCCAACACAAGACAGAACACGAAACAATGGGTATTGAATGGGTATTAAATTCCAACACAAGACAGATCACGAAACAATGGGTATTGAATGGAAGTAATTGTAGAAAGCCTATTGGTCCATATTTCTTGATGCTTCTATATTGGAGCGGAGTCTTGAAGTGGGTAGAATATAGTTGTGCATTAATTGGCTGTTGATTGCTGGTGTTGACTTCTTGATGTGTAGTGCCTCGCAGATGTCAAGCCGCATGCTATCGCTGTATATATCGATGATTTCTGTGTTGTTTGCTATGATTTCTCTGGTGATGGTTTGGTTGGGGGTAGAGATTATATGTTCCTTAATGGAGCCCTGTTGCTTATGCATCGTTAAACGCCTGGAAAGAGATGTTGTTGTCTTGCCTATATACTGAGTTTTTTGAGGCTTACAGTCCGCAAAAGGGCATTTGAGGGCATAGACGACGTTGGTCTCTTTTAAAGCGTTCTGCTTTGTGTCTGGAGAGTTTCTCATGAGTAGGCTGGCCGTTTTTTTGGTTTTATAGTAAATTGTCAGTTGTATCTTCTGATTTTTGTCTGTAGGGATAACGTTTCTACTAACAATATCTTTCAGGACCCTTTCCTCTTTTTATGGGCTGTGGAAAAGAAGTTCCTGTAAAATAGTCTAATAGGGGGTATAGGTGTTGTGTTAGTTGTCTCTTCAGAGGTTGCATGGCGTTTCACTTTCCTTCTTATGATGTCTTCCACGAAACCATTGGAGAAGCCGTTGTTGACTAGGACCTGCCTTACCCTACAGAGTTCTTCGTCGACTTGCTTCCATTCTGAGCTGTGGCTGAGAGCACGGTCGACATAAGCGTTAACGACACTCCTCTTGTACCTGTCTGGGCAGTCACTGTTGGCATTCAGGCACATTCCAATGTTCGTTTCCTTAGTGTAGACTGCAGTGCGGAAAACTCCGTTCCTTTCCATGACTGTTACATCTAGAATGGGCAGCTTCCCATCCTTCTCCATCTCGTAAGTGAAACGCAACAAAGAATTCTGCTCAAATGCCTCCTTCAGCTCCTGCAGATGTCTGACATCAGGTACCTGTGTAAAAATGTCGTCAACATACCTGCAGTATATGGCCGGTTTCAAGTTCATGTCGACTAAGACTTTTTGCTCGAAGGTAACCATGTAGAAGTTTGCAAACAGGACACCTAGGTGAGAACCCATGGCGACCCCATCTACTTGCTTATACATGTGTCCATCGGGCTCAAGAAGGGTGCCTCTTTAATACAAGCTTGGAGTAGTTTCCTTAGAAAGTTTTCTGGTATGTCAAGAGGAGTACAGGCCGGATCACGATACACTCTGTCGGCTATCATCCCGATTGTTTCATCCACAGGTACGTTGGTAAACAGTGATTCTACGTCCAACGAGGCTCTTATCCCTGTTGCCCGTGTTCCCCGCAGTAAGTTGTGGCCCGTGTTCCCCTCAGTAAGTCAACAAATTCCTTTGGAGACTTCAGGCTGAAGGCGCATGGGACATAAGGAGTCAGCAAGCCGTTGAGTCGTTTCGCCAGTCTGTACGTGGGTATGGGTATCTGGCTGATGATTGGCCGAAGTGGGTTTCCAGGCTTGTGTGTCTTGACATTTCCATACGCATATCCAGGTTTATATTCCCCAATAACCTTTGGCAGGTGGAGTTCGGATTTCTTGGCGTTCACAGTTTCGATCAATTTGTTGACCTTTGCTTTCAATTCGGCTGTAGTGTCCTTCGTTACCCTATGGAATTTAGTTTGGTCAGAGAGTATGAGGTTCATTTTCGCCAGATCTTTGTCTTTTTTAAGAATGACGTATATTGGCGACTTGTCACCTCTCCTGACAACTATCTCCTTGTTCTCATGAAGGCTCTTCGCTGCCGCTTTGAGCTCGGGGGACAGTATGGTGCTTCTGTAGTCGCCTCGATTCTTTCCTCCTTCCGCAATAAGTTCTGCTTGTAAGGTATCTTTGGTGGTGACCTTCTTTTGTGTCTCGAGGTCGAATATGTCGTCCAACAGAATCTCCAACTCCACTTTCCGGGCCATCTCACTCGGTCTGGACATAACGTGACAGTTTATACCCAGATTTAGGAGAGTGACTTGGTCCTCAGTGAGGTTGATTCCTGCAAGGTTCAGGAAGCCATCTCTTGGTCGTGGAATTGCCATAGGTCCTCCATATAACGTTGTTAGTTTCTTGATAATCCTTGTTTCAGTGCATCTTGACATCTGCGAGGCACTACACATCAAGAAGTCAACACCAGCAATCAACATCCAATTAATGCACAACTATATTCTACCCACTTCAAGACTCCGCTCCAATATAGAAGCATCAAGAAATATGGGCCAATAAAAATAGGCCTTCTGTAGTTACCTACCTTTAATACCCATTGTTTCGTGTCCTGTCTTGTGTTAAAAGTTTATTTTCACCTCATCCAAAACTATTGTAACATGTCACCTCACCCAAACGTAGGTATAAAAACTCGAAGATGTTTAAGCTCTATTCAGTTAAAGTTGTGTGTGTGTGTGTGTAAACTATAGTCTTTGAAAATGTAATAAGTTTTACGAAACGCGATCAAGTGTCGCGTCAGACTAGAAATAAAAATGAATTTTGGAGAATTGATTTTTGAATTACCATCAACAGTGAAAAGGAACATAAGAAAGATCGAGAAAATTCGTGTTAGAATTATTAATCTTACTTTTTCGGTCATATTAAATAATATATATATATATATATATATATATATATATATATATATATATATATATATATATATATATATATATATATATATACACATATGTACATATATATATATATATATATATATATATATATATATATATATATATATATATATATATACATATGTACATATATATATATATATATATATATATATATATATATATATATATATATATATATATATATATATATATATATATATATATATATATGTCGTACCTAGTAGCCAGAACGCACTTCTGAGCCTACTATGCAAGGCCCGATTTGCCTAATATATATATATATATATATATATATATATATATATATATATATATATATATATATATATATATATATATATATATATATATATATATGTCGTACCTAATAGCCAGAACTCACTTCTCAGCCTACTATGCAAGGCCCGATTTGCCTAATAAGCCAAGTTTTACTGAATTAATATATTTTCTCTATTTTTTTTCTTATGAAATGATAAAGCTACCCATTTCATTATGTATGAGGTCATTTTTTTTTATTGGAGGTAAAATTAACGTAGATATATGACCGAACCTAACCAACCCTACCTAACCTAACCTAACCTATCTTTACAGGTTAGGTTAGATTAGGTAGCTGAAAACGTTAGGTTAGGTTAGGTTAGGTAGGTTAGGTAGTCGAAAAAACATTAATTCAATAAAACTAGGCTTATTAGGCAAATCGGGCCTTGCATAGTAGGCTGAGAAGTGAGTTCTGGCTACTAGGTACGACATATATATATATATATATATATATATATATATATATATATATATATATATATATATATATATATATATATATATATATATATATATATATATATATATATTTATATAAATATATATATATATATATATATTTATATAAATATATATATATATATATATATATATATATATATATATATATATATATATATATATATATATATATATATATATATATATATATATATATATATATATATATGTCGTACCTAGTAGCCAGAACGCACTTCTCAGCCTACTATGCAAGGCCCAATTTGCCTAATAAGCCAAGTTTTCATGAATTAATTGTTTTTCGACTACCTAACATACCTAACCTAACCTAACCTAACTTTTTCGGCTACCTAACCTAACCTAACCTATTAAGATAGGTTAGGTTAGGTTAGGTTAGGTAGGGTTGGTTAGGTTCGGTCATATATCTACGTTAATTTTAACTCCAATAAAAAAAATTGATATCATACATAATGAAATGGGTAGCTTTATCATTTCATAAGAAAAAAATTAGAGAAAATATAATAATTCAGGAAAACTTGGCTTATTAGGCAAATAGGGCCTTGCATAGTAGGCCGAGAAGTGCATTCTGGCTACTAGGTACGACCATGTACAATATTGTACACTCGGTCCACCGTATACAATATTGTAAACTCACTCAACCGACACAATATTCTACACTCGCTCCACAATACTCAAAATTTTACACTCGCTCCACCGTACTCAATATTATACAATTGCTGCACCGTTCTCAGTATTGTGCACTCGCTCAATCGTATACAATATTGTACACTTCCCTCCATCATACACAATATTGTACACTCGCTCCACCTTGCTCAATATTGTATATATGCTCTATCGTATACAATATTGTACACACACTCCAAAGTACACAATAATGAATTAAATGTCTAACTTTATCATATTTCGGTGAATGCATTTCATACCATCGTCGTCGTCATCGTCGTCGTCGTCGTCGTCGTCGTCAGAAGACGTGTCAGAGTCTGACTGGCTCATACAGTGGTCGAAGTCAGACGACGACTCGACGATCGACGCTGATCCTGTTGATGCCATTTCCAGGTCCGTGTTAGCGGACATAGTGGCGGGCGTGGAGGCGGGCGTGGGCGTGGTGATGGGAGTGCCCTTGGGAGGGCCTCGGCATACCGTGCGGCTGGTGTTGCCGTTGGCGTCCTCTTCGCTGGCTGTCAGACGGTCGTAACCTCGCTTAGTAGACCGACTGGAATCTGCAAGAGAAGAGTTTGTTATTGTTGCTGTTGCGATGTGCTCAAGTATCTACATATTATTGTTGTTGTTGTGATGTGAAAAGTATCGACAAATTGTTGTTGTTGTTGTGATGTGCCCGAGTATCCATATATTGTTGTTGTTGTTGTGATGTGCCCAAGTATCCACATATTGTTGCTGTTGTGATATGCCCAAGTATCCACATATTATTATTATTATTATTATTATTATTATTATTATTATTATCATTATTATTTTTAAATGCCAACGGCATGATACAGACTACATAAATACAATAAAAGCAAGGGGCACTGAAGTACCACCACTACACAAAATATTTAACAACAACCACAGTACAAATCACCTAACAGCAACCACAGTACAACTCAGCACAAAGACAAGAAAACACAGTAAGGTACACAGGAATACAAAAACGGAACTAGTGGACAACTTCATTCCAAATCGAACACAAGGTCATCTGCATGGTACTTAGCAGGACATTTCTTCCAAGGATAAACCCGACGATACAACCTCTAGGTATCCCAGACGGCCGGAGAATTCCAGACACAAGGGCGACGCATAAAGTCCGGTAAGGTCTTCATTATCGAGCGCGGTGATACGGCCACCACCCGGTGATACGGCCACCACCCGGTGATACGGCCACCACCCAGGCCCAACAAACTGCTGCACAGGGTCCGACTTCCCGACCTCACGCAGGCCAGCGTCCTTCCGGATCACCATCACCAAATCCTTGCATCACAGCAGCCGGCACGCTAGGGGCAACAACCTCCCATTCAGGGGAGCCCACAGCTGGAGGCACAGGGGGGGGGGGGCGGGGCGACAGGAAACAACACACGGTCCTTCTCACCAGCAGCCACCTTCGCAACATGCACCTCAGCCACCACCACTGCGTGTCCCCTCACGAGGCACAACCGGAGTCCCCCAGGCACCCCTCGTCGTCCAAAGGTATGCAACTAGCTAAGTCCCCCACGTCCAGCCAATCAGAACCCCCAGAGGGCAGAGCATCTGAAGAACGCCTCACGCGCCCGCAAGGCGTCCAACCTTTCCACCGCGACGACATCAGACTCCCCAGAAGCAGGGGGAAATTGCACCCGAGCACCTGAACTAATGCACCCTGTCACTTGAACTAAGGGTACGCTAGACCTCAGTGGCAGCGACCACAAAGGGAACGGACCATGCACAACAACAGGCTGTACACCCTACTGATACGGCAGGCACAGGCTGTTTGCTAGCAGATACTGGAGCCGCAGGAGAAGCTTCCACAACAGCCGCAGAAGGGCAAAGGTCGACCCGCCGCAGCCCATCCATGTCCGCAACACAAACGGCGGCCGCAGAATCAACAGACAACGACGGCACAGCTACCGGCGCATGCTCCCCATCAACCGCACTCACAACAGCAGGCGTCCATGGAGGCAAAGCAACCACGGGTACATCCACATCCTCGAAGTCGTCTGGAATTACCAGCGGAGGGAAGTCCTCCTCGCAGAAGAGATTCACACTGTCAAGGACGTACATACTGCACTCGCAGCCTGGTGCCCTGATATCCCGCAACAAAAGTAGATCCGCGGCTGCCGGGCATAATACACACGTAGATAATATCCCACCAGCTTGACTAACAATTGGATGCCAGACCGAAGACCCATTTCCAACGTTTGAATGCCATTTTGAACGCCTCTCAGCGATCGGAAGAGATAACGTTCATCTGCACAGGCACCACCTTCCCAAACTGGCCATAGCACTGCCGTAACGTACCGCCGTAATGTACCGTAAGGGTACTTACATAAGTAGAAGCGCAACTGCGGTCGAAGACAATGACAGACCCAGCAGCGCCCGGCAATTGAAACGTACGCCCATCAAACTGGCTTAGAAATACCCGGTACTCTTCCTAAGTAGAAAGCTTTACCAACGCCCGATGCTTAGTAAACAATTCAACACCACAAACGGCAGCGATGTCAATGCACAATACGTCAAACAGCGTCGTATCTATGGTAGAATAATCCTCAAATCCCGAATATTCCAGGCCAATCGACTGAGTAATTATCCACATAATTATTGTTGGTGATGTGATGTGCTCAATTAAAATCGTTATTTTTGGTGCCGTTATGTGCTCAATTATCCACATAATTATTGTTGGTACTGGGATGTGCTAAATTATCCACATAATTATTGCTGTTCTGAATTATCCACAAAGTTAATGTTGGTGCTGTGATCTGCTCAATTATTCACATAATTATTGTTGGTGCTGTGATGTGCTGAATTATCCACAAAGTTATTGTTGGTGCTGTGATGTGCTCAATTATTCACATAATTATTGTTGATGCTGTGATGTGCTTAAGTATGCACATAATTACTGCTGGTGCTGTGATGTGCTTGTTATGAACCTTATCTCCTGTGGAGGTTAATTCCTATTATAAACTGTTGGTGGACACATTGCAAAATGTTTTCTTTAAATAAATCTGCAGCTGATAACTGGGAAGCCGCGAGTCACCAGTAATACTCCGCCAAGCAAAGTAGTACATTCTCAGCTGGAGATTGTTAAGAAAACATGTGTACCGGAATAGCCAAGCAATGTGAGGGAAAAATGGACTCAATTAAAAAGCATGCATGGGGAATATGGTAAATGAAGTCAATAAAAGGTTTGAGTGGTAATGTTACAGAATGGAATATTAAGGGGCGATTGTGCAAGAGTGGTGGATGTCATCTTGATCTGAGAGGATGAGGTACCTTTAGGACCAGACCTTTTTTACTGAGGGTTTTTCTCCGGCCGTACATCAGATTAGCCATAGTTTTACCTTAAAAGGGTTGCAAGATAGGGTAGCGTACGCAGGCAGTCTATGGTGCTGTTTTGTGAGAGAGTCCAGGCTTCCTAGTGGTTTATATATATGTGTGTCACCGGATGACAGGTGTGGTGGCTGTGAGCACAGTTCTAGTCTTGGGACTGAGAGCCATAGGGTGTCCAGAGCCCGTTTGGGAGTTTTATTAACCAAGTTGTTACCTTCAGTTTGACCTTGAGTTGTAAGGAGTAAAATTATGTCTATATGTTATATAGTACATGTACATGTTATATAATGTATCATTATCGCTATATGTGTTTCTTATACATATGCCTTTGTCTTCTGTACTAGCCGGTTTCCCCTACTCCTTGAATTCCCCTTGGCTCAATTAAAGCCTCAATTTCTCAAGACAACAGTTAAAGGTCATTAGAACTTACACTCAATCATTACAACACCACTCATTCGTGACAGTGCTCAAGTATCCACACAGTATTGTTGGTGCTGTGATGTGTTCAAGTATCCACACAGTATTGTTGGTGCTGTGATGTGTTCAAGTATCCACACAGTCATTGTTATTGCTGTGATGTGCTCAAGTATTCTCACAGTCATTGTTAGTGCTGTGATGTGCTCAAGTATCCACACAGTATTGTTGGTACTGTGATGTGCTCAAGTATCCACAAGTATTGTTGGTACTGTGATGTGCTCAAGTATCCACACAGTATTGTTGGTACTGTGATGTGTTCAAGTATCCACAGTCATTGTTATTGCTGTGATGTGCTCAAGTATTCTCACAGTCATTGTTAGTGCTGTGATGTGCTCAGGTATCCACACAGTCATTGTTAGTGCTGTGATGTACTCGAGTATCCACACAGTATTGTTGGTGCTGTGATGTGCTCAAGTATCCACACAGTATTGTTGGTACTGTGATGTGCTCAAGTATCCAGTCATTGTTATTGCTGTGATGTGCTCAAGTATTCTCACAGTCATTGTTAGTGCTGTGATGTGCTCAGGTATCCACACAGTCATTGTTAGTGCTGTGATGTGCTCAGGTATCCACACAGTCATTGTTAGTGCTGTGATGTGCCCGAGTATCCACACAGTCATTGTTAGTGCTGTGATGTGCTCAGGTATCCACACAGTCATTGTTAGTGCTGTGATGTGCTCGAGTATCCACACAGTCATTGTTAGTGATGTGATGTGCTCAGGTATCCACACAGTCATTGTTAGTGCTGTGATGTGCTCAGGTATCCACACAGGCATTGTTAATGCTGTGATGTGCTCAAGTATCCACACAGCATTGTTGGTGCTGTGATGTGCTCAAGTATCCACACAGGCATTGTTAGTGCTGTGATGTGCTCAAGTATCCACACAGGCATTGTTAGTGCTGTGATGTGCTCAAGTATCCACACAGTTGTTGTTAGTGCTATGATGTGCTCAAGTATCCACACATTATTGTTGGTGCTGAGATGTGCTCAAGTATCTACACAGTTGTTGTTGGTGCTGTGATGTGCTCTAGTATCCACACAGTATTGTTGGTGCTGTGATGTGCTCAAGTATCCACACATTATTGTTGGTGCTGAGATGTGCTCAAGTATCTACACAGTTGTTGTTGGTGCTGTGATGTGCTCTAGTATCCACACAGTATTGTTGGTGCTGTGATGTGCTCAAGTATCCACACAGTATTGTTGGTACTGTGATGTGCTCAAGTATCCACACATTATTGTTGGTACTGTGATGTGTTCAAGTATCCACACAGTTGCAGGCGATGAGTCACAATAACGTGGCTGAAGAATGTTGACCAGACCACACATTAGAAGGTGAAGGGACGACGACATTTCAGTCCGTCGTGGACCATTCTCAAGTCGATTGTGATGAGGAAGTTGATGCAGGCAATAAATGGACAAGAGGAGCAAGGCAAAAGGTACGAACGATGAAATGTAGTAGAGGGGATAGTAGTAGGAATAAGAACTGCAGAAGGCCCATTGGCCCATACGAGGCAGCTCTCATAATCCCCGAATGAGAAGGAGATAGTAATAGGAGTAAGAAGAGGATAGCAAGGGAACGTAAGAGAAAACAATGAACAGAAAAGAGAGAGAAGAGAGAAAGAAAAGGAAAGAGAAACAAAGATAAATGAAAGGGTAAGCTTATGATAGGTCACGTCTTCTCTCTCTTTTCTGTTCATTGTTTTCTCTTACGTTCTCTTCCTATTTTTTTCTTATTCCTATTACTATCCTCTTCTCATTTGGTGGTTATAATGAGAGCTGCTCGAATGGGGCAATGAGCCTTCTGCAGTTCTTATTCCTACTACTATCCCCTCTACTACACCTCACCGTTCGTACCTTTTGCCTTGCTCCTCACCTCTCTCTTGCCCATTTATTGCCTGTATCACATTCCTCATCACAATCGAATTGAGAATGATCAAGGACGGACCGAAACATCGTCGTCCCTTCACCCTCTAGTGTGTGGTCTGGTCAATATCCACACAGTTGTTGTTGGTACTGTGATGCTCACGTATCCACACAGTATTGTTGGTACTGTGATGTGCTCTAGTATCCACACAGTATTGTTGGTACTGTGTTGTTCTCAAGTATTCACACAGTCATTGTTGGTACTGTGAAGTGCTCAAGTATCCACACAGTATTGTTGGTACTGTGATGTGTTCTAGTATCCACACAGTATTGTTGGTACTGTGATGTGCTCAAGTATCCACACAGTATTGTTGGTACTGTGTTGTTCTCAAGTATCCACACAGTATTGTTGGTACTGTGATGTGCTCAAGTATCCACACAGTATTGTTGGTACTGTGATGTGCTCAAGTATCCACACAGTATTGTTGGTACTGTGATGTGCTCAAGTATCCACACAGTATTGTTGGTACTGTGATGTGCTCAAGTATCCACACAGTATTGTTGGTACTATGATGTGCTCAAGTATCCACACAGTATTGTTGGTACTATGATGTGCTCAAGTATCCACACAGTATTGTTGGTACTGTGATGTGCTCAAGTATCCACATAGAAGTAAAGTGAAAGCGTTCGGATGATTTTCGTTTCATTTCTTATATCTAGATATTATTCCTAACTGAATCACGTGTTTTCTCAAGGAGTAGTACTCTGCGGTGCCCAGATCTCTTGTACTTTTGTCTCTCTCCCTCCCACTCTTCTATTTTCTCCTCTCTATTTTGCTTACGCCCATTCTCTCTCTCTCTCCTTCCTTAAAGTTCTACATTCCTTCCTTCCCATTCTCTTTCCTTCTTCCCATTCTATCTCATTACCATTCTTCGTCCTTCCCATTATCCCTCCTTTCCATTCTCCCTCCCAATCTCCCTTGCTCCCATTCTCCAACCTTCACATTCTCCCTCCTTCATATTCTCCCTCCTTCATATTCTCCCTCATTCACATTCTTCCTCCTTCATATTCTCCCTCCTATACATTCTCCATCCTTCACATTCTTTTTCCTTCATAAGCTCTTTCCTTCGCATTCTTTCTCCCTCACATTCTCCCTCCTTCACATTCTCCCTCCTTCACATTCTCCCTCCCTCCCGTCCTCTCTTCCAGTGGGAAAACTTACTTGAGTAACGTTGAATCAACGGCGTGACACTTGTTTTATTGTTTATTTAACAAGCAACAATTACAGGCCGATGCTTGTTTGATTGTTTACCTAACAAGCAACAATTACGGAGCCGACCTTTGTTTCCTGTATTCAAATCCAATTATTTTGTTGACTACCCGTTGCCGCAAT